TTTTCGGTCCTCTAGGCTGGGTTTTCTCTCCCTGTTTCTGTTGTCTTTCTGACTCACTCTCCTCTGCAATTTATCTATGTCCCAGGAACTGGAAAGAGATGAGCTATTCGTTATCTCTTGGAAGTATTGGGATTTACTCAGCTTTTTGCCACATGACTGAAAAAGAACACAGTTCATTTCTTTTTTCAGTCTTTGCATAGTCTTTTCTTTGGCTTCATTGAAATGCAGCAGCCTGGGTTGGCACTTTTAAGTTTGTGAGAATGTGGAAGATGGAAGGTCGCAGTGAGGAGAAGTGCCTATCCCGAGTTTTGAGTGACCATTTTATCAGTAGGAACTTCTCTGGCTTTTAGCTCCCTTGGTCAAGTTTATAACATTGATTTTTCTATCCCTGAATCTTTCATTTAAGAGGAGAGTTACCACTTTGGTTCAGACCCCATATCTAAGGGGCTTTTGGTTAATAAGGTTTGTTAGCATTTAAAGATACTCTTGGTTACATTGACATTTCACTGCTTGTTCTATTCCCTTGTCCACAGTGAGAGGAAAAGGAATCAAGATTTTAGTGGGATGTGGCTAGAATATTTTTGGGTTATTGCTCCTTTTTTTCCCTTAATTGTTTGGTTTTGTGGTCATGAAAAATGTGAATGAGATTTTAGAGTGACTTTTACCTTCTCACCTGTTTTGAAAGAACCTAGGTAATTTGCCCTTACTGGAGTTGAAGGGAATGAGATGGAGGTTGGGAAGTTGCTCTTTTCATTTACCAAAAAAAAAACAAAACCCAAAAAAGACAAAACACCTAGTAGGATGAAAAATGACTAGGGCTTAGATGTGTATGAACCTTTAGGTCTTTGAACAGAAAAGAGAAAAACAAAGAGAAAACAGAAATCTTACTACCTCCTGACTTAATCTTGGGTTTTAATTTCCATTTAATGATTTTTGTTTCATCTTTTGCCATTGAAGATAATCAGCAAACAGTTATTAAGTGTTTACTATGTACCAAGCACTATGCTGAACCCTGGGGGTACAAAGGCAAAACAGTCTACCCCCAACAAGCTTATATATTAACATATATAAGGAGATAAAACATATATAGGTACATACAAGACATACATAGCAGACCCAAGGCAACTTTAGTGGGACAGTATTAACATCTGGAGTGGAGGGTGGGCGGTGGGAAGGGGAGGAGGGAGAAAGGAAACGCCTTCTGCGTAGGATGTCACTAAGTCTTTTTTTGTTTGTTTATTTGTTTGCTAGGCAGTGGGGTTAAGTGACTTGTCCAGGGTCACACAGCTGGTAAGTGTCAAGTGTCTGGGTCCAGATTTGAACTCAGGTCCTCCTGACTTCAGGGCTGGTGCTCTATGCACTATGCCCCCTAGCGGTCCCCCCACTTAGCTAAGTCTTAAAGAAAACCAAGGATTGATTCTGAGAAGTGGAAGAGAGGAAGAGAATGCATTTCAGCCTGTGGAACAGCCAATACATGGGCATAGTGATGAGAGATGGAGAACTATATGTAAAGAATTCCAGGTAGACTACTACTGCAAAGTACCTGACAGGGCATAATGTGTAAGAAGACTGGAATGACAGAAAGGGATCATGTTGTGAAACCAATCTCTTTAATTATTTCTCTACAGCACAGTAGTATTCAATTACATTTGTATACCATGATGTATTTAGCTAGTCCCCAATTGATGAGTACCCCCTTGGTTTCCAGTTCTTTACCATAACAAAAATAATTGCTACACATTTTTTTTACATATGGGTCCTTTTCTTTTTTCATTCTCATTTATTACTTTCTACTATGTCTCTCGCCTTCAAGTTTGTGAGTTTTCATAGATAAATATCTTCTAGTGTAAAATGCTGCCCTAACTTCCATTCCACTCTAAGCTTTTTCTTTTTGAGCAAAGAGTAGTTTACTGCTGAACCTTGCTGTGAGGTGGAAAGAACACTTCACTCAGCTTTCTTTTTTAAGGCCTTAGTTTTTCTTATCTATAACATAAAAGAATCATACTAAATTATGTCTAAATTTCATCAAAATTTTTATGACCCCAGAGTCTGTGGATGAAGAGAGTTGTCTGATGGCTGGTAACTGACTATCTTTAATATGGAAGCTAGTTGCTTATTAGTATTATGTAGTGTAATATATTTCATTTTTAGTTTTGCTTTGGTAATCTTAGTCATGAGATTCATTTTGCTGAGTCTTTTTGGTATGAGTCATATTTAACACCTATGTTAAAATCTCTAGTTCACTTTAATTTTCACTTTTTGCGTAACATCTCCATTGAATGCATATATTATTATCCCTCTTTTGTAAAGGAGAAAACTAGTACTGAGAGTTTGCAACTTGCTCAAGATTCACTTGACTAATAAATGGTGAAGCCAAGACTTGAACCTAGGTTTCTGACTTAGTAGGACCTCTACTGCTGTTCTTTCTATGCCATGACTGTTATCCACTAGCATAACTGTTGTAGCAGCTATATCTAGGATACTTATTTCCCCTATTTCACTCCCCTCTCCTCCAGCCTTTCAATTCTCTATCTTATACCGTGGTGCATAAAGTCAAACTGCAGTTTTTGGTATCATTTTTTAGCCAGCTACTCCTAGTATCCTACTGTCTCTTCTGAAATCCATAGGTTTAATCAGTAATAGTGATGAAAACACCATCTGTGCCTCTAAGTCCTTCAATTTCCTGCTCTGGACTTAATTAGTCTTTAGAGTTTTTAAAGGTTATTTCTGAAAGTATCATTTATTACCCACGTGATTTGCTAGTATAGCAAGCAGTCCTTAAGTTTTTAATAAGTCTGTCGCATCTGGGAGGCTTTAGATACGGTAAACTTCATGATGGTACTAAGTTTATGTAAGTACCCTTACACATCTTTCAGCAGCTCTGCCACTACAACACATCTCTTCTTCCTGGGGCCAGTAATAGATGCCTTCTTTTTAAAAAAAATTTATTTAATTTATTTTGATTTATCAACAATCACTTTCATATTCTTTTGAGTTGAAAATTTTTCTCCCTCTTCCTCTCCCCCCACCCTCCCCAAGACGGCGTACAATCTGATATAGGCTTTACATTTACATTCCTATTAAACATATTTTCACATTAGTGAAGTTGTAAGTAACAATTAAAACCAATAGGAGGAACCATCAGAAAGATGAAACAAAACTCAACAGAAGGTAAAAATAAGTGATAGCAATTCAACTTCCATAGTTCTTTCTTTGGATGTGGACAGCATTTTCCATCACTAGGCCTCTGGAGATGTCTTAGATGCTTATAATGCTGAGAAGGGTTCAGTTTAACAATCTTAGTCATTGCATAATGTGGCTGTTATTGTGTACAAAGTCCTCTTGGTTCTGCTCACTTCACTCAGCATCAGACCATATAAGTCTTTCCAGGTTTTTCTGAAGTCAGCCTGTTCATCATTTCTTATAGCACAATAGTATTCCATTACATTCATATACCACAACTTGCTCAGCCATTCCTCAATTGATGGGCATCCTCTCAGTTTCCAATTCTTTGCCCCCACAAAAAGAGCTGCTATGAATATTTTTGTACATGTGGGTCCTTTTCCCATTTGTTTGATCTCTTTGGGATATAGCCCTAGAAGTGCTATTGCTGGATCAAAGGGTATGCACATTTTTGTAGCCCTTTGGGATGCCCTCTTTCTTAGTGGCATTTGTGAATCCCTCTTACCATTCTGTGTAACAGAAGAAGCTATTTCTAGTTGAAAAGGTTCAGTCCATCCTCTGTGACAAGTACTGCTTATGGATTACTTAGAAAAACATAGAACTATCCTTATTTCCCCACATTCTTCCATCTTTCAACTTCTTTATTCCTAGGTGTTTTCTTTCTTGCTAGAGAATGTGCCATCTTTTCCCATATGTATTAGAGAACAGAAAAGGGTTTCTCCATCCATTTTGCTTACTCCTTTAACAATGAGACTAATTTTCATTCAGTGCATCAAACTTGTTTGCTGCCTGTGAGAAACATCAGATTTGACACAATCTATGTAGGTCTCAAGAACAATTCTCTTTCCCACCCTATCTGCTGAAATTATTTGTTATTTATAGTTTTCTCTCAGTTACTTTCATCGTTAAATTCAGCAAACTGTTGACCATACCTTACATCTGTTGCTGCAAGTTCTGTTATCTCAGGCTCCTTTGGGATTTGTGAGCCTGTGCTTTTATGGACATTTTGTTTGCATAGAAAGTCCTTGGTTGCAGAGTCACTTAAGTTCAAATTCTGGCTCTGATACTTAAACTATGTGATTTTCTGCCTCATTTCACCTCTCTCACTAAATATTAGTTAAGGGACTGTCCATCTCTCTTCTAGTTTCTTCTCCAAGGTAATTACCACATCCTTGCCAATGCTATAATTGCCTGAAGTATAAATAGTATCATTAAGCAGAGGAAATCCTTGAGAAGCCTTGCCAATCCAATTGTTCTTTCTCTCAGAATCATGGAATCTCTGTGTTTAAGGAACATCAGAGACTACGGAGTCCAACTCATACTTGACTGAGAATCCCCTCTACAGCATCCCCAACAAGTGGACATTTAAGTATCCATTAAAGATGACACATCTGTTTTTGTGTCTGAGGAGAGAGAAATATCACATCTCCTCTGAAAAACTGAAATCTGAGTATCAACTACCCTTGCTTTCCTTACCTGTTTTTCTTTTAATTTCATAGACATTTGCAAAAATTATCCCTGCAGTGTGAAGTTGTTGAAAGCTAACTTTGTAGATAAACTATGAAAGCATTAGTGTTTATTGGTGAAAATTCTGATTGCTTTGGATTTTTATTTTAAAGTGTTGTGAAAGATAAAACTTGGATCACTTGGAGCTTTTGAATATTAGGGATTTGTGTTGTCATGATTCTAAAATGAGAGAACTAGAAATTCAATTAGTTATCTTAGACCAACCTGCATTTGTAAGGAAGACTTAAGTTATATTTAAAGTTATGCTTAGAGCTATTGAGAATTTTTAAAACAATTTTTTTCTTTTTCAGGTGACTTTTACAAAGAGGAAATTTGGTTTGATGAAGAAAGCCTATGAACTTAGTGTGCTTTGTGACTGTGAAATAGCACTCATCATTTTTAACAGCTCTAACAAACTATTTCAGTATGCCAGCACTGACATGGACAAAGTCCTCCTCAAGTACACAGAATATAATGAACCCCATGAGAGCAGAACCAATTCGGATATTGTTGAGGTAACACATATATCCAAAAATGACTAATTTACAAGTAATTAATAGTTTACATTTTCATTTTAATTTGAGTAACCAAATTAACCTTTGTCTATGCTTGAAATGTTAAAATGAAAAATTAAAAGTGAACGTTTGTATTCTGTTGCACAATGATGTGAAATAGTTACAGATAGAATTTACTTTCTCTTCAAGTATAATACCTACTTTCTAAAAATAATTTCTGAATCTTGTTGATTTAGTAATTTAAACATCATAAATTCCTTTAAGGAAACTTTGAAAATATATCAATAATATACTAAGCTAAATTAACTGCTTATCTATAGCTTTTTAGTTTGTGTTTATGTTAAAAAGTTAGAATTGTGTCATAGCATACTGTTCAAGGATATGATATAAAAATATTAACATATAGTTGTACAATTTTAATTGTTTTATTTTCATTAATAAATACCTTTGGCTTCAAAAATCTAATGACATGGAAAAAGATAGAAATCATCTTTTTGTATTATTAACAGAGCTCAGTGTAGGAAGAGTGGAGTAACAGGGCATAGTCCTTCCTCCCTGATTGTTCTTCTTAACATTTCCTCACCCTCAGTAGACCTATTGTTTTATCAGAGGGAAAAAAAAGGCAAAGTAGGTTTCCTACACTCGAAAACAATGTTCTAAAATAAACCCTCCCACCAAAAGAAATAAAACCTACTTTCCTTTCATCTTATGGAACCACAATATGTACTTATTTTCCTGTAGTCTGCAGGAATTCTGAGTACCCTTTCAAAATAGTAGAGGGTTTTTTTCCCCTTTAAACATTTAAAATTATTCTTTCTTTTGGGAAATTGGGCTTCTTCATTACCTGGGAAATAATAACATTTAGTGGACTTCTAGTATTTTTTTAATATTATGTAACCATGCATGTACATTAAAATTTCCCATTACCAAAAATCTTGCATAATGCTTAACAAAATTAATTTTACAAGAATTGAATAAAAACAAAATACAAATTGGTTTCCCTAAAAATTAATGAAAAGAAAGTTTAACGATTTCATTGCCTAGGGATTTTAATTTATTTGGCTTGCCAGATCATTTGTATTACATTAGAGTTCTAATATAAATACATAATATATTTTAAATGTATTTTTATATTTATACAGCATTCTTTTGGCTTCATGGTATATATATTATATACACATATATACATATGCTTTTATTTTTAAAAAAAATCACTAAACTACTTGAATTTTTCTAAGTGTTTCTGCTAATTTTAAGGAACAGTTGAATTTTTAAATGAGAAGAGGTAGCAAAATATAGCATAATTAGTGGGAATCATTGTCATGTTTATTTTTTGGCCACGGTTTGTTGGGTGCTGTCTGAGCTTCTCTGTTGAAATGCACATCAGTTAATTTTGTATCAGATAAAGATCATGTTAGTTGAACTAAGTAACTATGATTTTCTTCCTCATGTTCAGCTTAAACCTTATTTTAAAATTATGTGTAAATTTTGTTATCATTTAACACTTTTGAAGTAATACATGGAAAATACAGCCAACCTTGTTTGTTATATCCTGAACACTCCTCCCCTCCCGCTGCACATGACATCACACACTTTACCTTCAGACCTTTTCTTAATATAAGTCCTATAATTTACATTTAACCAAGGTTTCAATTTAATATTGATCCTTGTATTAAAAATACTAACATGTCGTTATTTATTTTACTTCTGATATTTCATTTTGCAGATGTTCTTATCTCCACCAGGAGGTTCTGAATACTTCTCAAATCTAAAAGTCTACTTCATTAAAAAATATGAAGTATATATTCTGATTTTTATCCTACAGCTTTTCTGTAACTAACTCTCCACCCTAGTTGTGGCAAACTGTCAAAATAAAAAGGATATTTTTGTACTCTTCTCAGAAATTAGTCTGCTCTAGTTATTTGTAGATTAGAAACCAGAATTGTAGATTAATCAATGAGATTTTGATGTATTCTTTTTTTAAATTGCAAGTGTGTGAATGGAGTTAATTATTCATATCACTTTTGTGAAGTTCTGAGGAGCTAAATATAAAGAGGAACCATATTGGATTATTGAAGAAGTAAAGAGTTGTAAATGTGTTTTGGTACTGAGGACTGAAAAACTTAGTTTTCTTTTTTGAGTATTAAATTTTTGCTTGACTAAACCATACTTTCTATTAGAAGACAGTATATATCACACTTTGTAGCTATTAATGTCTGCTGTCTTTTTCCTGTAACAATGACGCTACTAGCCCAGCATTGGTGTACACACTTTTTCTTTTAGTAATAGAAATGAATTGTACTGAGACAGCTATAAAGATTATTTATAAATTTATTCATAAGTTCTTAAGAAATATATTTTATTATAAGTCATTACCATCTTATTCCTACTTCTCTACATAAACTCTGAACAGATTTAAGCCTCAAGATTTTTTGTGGCATTCCAGTAATATTCATTTGACATTGCATTATAGATAGTCTTATTTCCCAAAACTTTGCACACAGTCACTTTTAATACATATTGTCAGCTGTGGAAAAATGTTCTCCATAAATTTTAACCAGTTGGCAGTGAATTTCTGCATTGACACTTTAGAATTTAAAATCAGTGCCTGTAATATGCCTAAGAACTGTGTTTGGGAAAGTAACCGTCTTTAAATTGAATGCAACAATTTAATTACAGCTAACCCATCACAGTATTATCCCCTTTCCTTAATAAAGTATTGTACTTATGAAAGAACTGTACAGTGTATACCGTATTGCTAATTAGCCTTATAGAGTAATTTTAAAATTAAATCATGCATTCTCTTACTTGGTTTTCTTCTGTGAATAGTAGCACATGTTTGCAAACTTTTTATTAGTAGGGTTTGGTTTTATTTCCCCTCGCGTGATGAAGGAAAATATTTATGTTAGAATTACTGTAAAAATAAAGATCCAAATAAGTACCAGTATAATAGCCAATGAAAATACTTTACTAATACTATTACTATAAACAATTAACTGTTAAGAACAATTTAAGGATTTTTGATAGAGATACTTTTAATTAAGAACAATGTTTTGGCTGTGTTCTGCAAATATGAACACTGCTACGTAAAGATCCCCATGTTTTGTCCGTAGCACCAAATAAAATTTGGATTTGGAGAATGGTATTCTAAGAACGTCAACAAAGAAGTTGTGACACTTAAATGATGGGTTATTAGCAGTGAGATGTAATGCTCACATTTACTTATCTTTCAATATCCTTTTTTTTTGGACACAAAATATATGTTGCATTCTCTTTTTATGTACCGTATAAATTACACACTTTTGAGAAATATAATTCCTTAAAAATGGTCTTAACTTTACAGATTCTGACCATTTATTTAAGGAAGTTGCCATGGTTTTAAGTTATTTGTTTAAACCAACAGTATTTTCTCACATTCAATTTCTACTTAAAAGCTTTAATAGTGCCAAAATCTGTTTGTGTAACATTGGTTATACTCTTATTTAAGCAAAATTTATGTTTGAAAATTAAAACTTATAAAAGAGATAAATTGGAAAGGCATGAAAACTTCCTTATGAAAGTATTCACAAGACTGTTTGTTTACATGGGGAGCACTGTTGCTCTGTTTAAAATGATTTATTTTAAAAGTTGATTTGTATATAATTTTTCAGGAATAAAGTTATTACATAGCATAAGATCATAAAGCTGAAAAGGACTTTAGAAAATCATCTAGTCCAATCCTCTCAATCCCATATTATACCATTATTATTGTGTCTTTTAAATACCAGAATTCATTTATGTTTTCTGATAACTGCAAAACTATTTTGAAGATTCATGTACTATATATTTTAATATTTCATACCTATGCTTTAATAGTCAAATTATAATTAAATTAAATTAAAAATAAGTGACAAAATTGTGTACTAGATTTCTAATCTGTTTTGAAAGCCAGTACTAAATAAGAGATTAAAACATAGGGAGATATAGGAGTTACAGTGTGAACTAAAAAAATTATTCTAAAGACCCACTGGATGAATATTTTTTTATATGCCGAGGAATGAAAACCTAGACCATAGATACTTCAGTGCCCACATTGTCTTCTCTCCAATTTAACAGAAAGTTGAAATAGTAAAATACACTGCTTTTTAAGAATTTCACATTGCAGTAACATAGTTCATTCAGCTTATCTGATGTGTCCTTATAACTGTTCAGCCACTATAATCTCTCTTGTGAGCAGGTCTTTATTTGGGGACTTTTCTTCACCTTCTGAAGAGACACTGTAGTATTTGTTGATTTTGCTATGCAAAGAAATCTATAGAATATATCCCTCTCAGCCCTTTAAAATGCAGAGGACTTCCTATATTGATTAATTTGTTTGCCAAAGTATCTACTTCACCAACAGAATATAGATTGTAATCTTTAGTAAACTTTTTTTTTTCACTTGCTGGTCCAAAAACACCAAACACCTGTTGGCCAACCTTTTTGGAATAAACTTTTTCAAACTTGACCTGGCTAAAGAGGAAAGAACTGTCCTGAGCTATGAACAGAAAAAAGAAAATGCAAAATTATAACATGCTCAACGCAATATAAATTGCATAATCTGGGAAATTTGCAAAAACAAAGAAATTAGACTTTGAAAAGTTAGTTGAAACAAGGATTTAGTGTTGCTTAGTGTAAATTAGATTTAGGAGAAAGAAAAATTGGTTTCTTGTTAGACTATAATCTTTACTCTTGCCTTCATGTTAGAATAGGGCTTCCTAACCTGGGACCCAGAGACTTATAAAGAGTCTGTGGATAAATTTCACGGGATTTGTGAATTTGGATGGTAAAAAGTTACATATTTATTTTTATTGACTTCTAACTGAAATGAGAATTTCCTTCAATTATTTAGAAACATTATTCCAAGAAGGGATCCCTAGACTTCACCAGATTGCCAAAAGGGGACCCTGTTACACAAAAAAAAGATTAAGAACCTCTTATATCCCAAAGATTAGTATTGACAGTGACCATCACAAGGAATT